ACGCGGCTCAATGTCGGATGGGCAATGGAGAGCGGTTAGCTGGGTTTTTCCAATCGGAACTTAGTCGGGGAAAACCTGAATGTTCTTATTTTGCCCGATCAGAAAAGGCATGCAGTAATACAGCATAGTTTATAATAGAGTTGGGAAAAATTGTTCGTCAATTAAAAGCTCTCATTGATTTTTTAATACTAATTAAATATTGCACTAACAAAAAAACGTAGGCATCATGTAAACAGTAAATAATAATATACAATAATAATATACAGTAAATAATAATATACAACAGGATTGGACACCTGGAAGTGACCATCAAGGAAGAAAACTAAGGCTGAAATCCTGCGGACAGATGTCTGGATGAATCAGTCAAGGCTTAGTAATCAGATTTTCGATAAAAGTCTTAACAGATAAAGGAGGAGCTTAAATGATTCAATATTGCAAAAGAAGATTGTCTAAACATGAAAAAATTTTGGATCAAGGATTCCTATGGAGAAAAAGTAAAATCCCTATAGAGGAAATCGGACGAAGAATTTCTGAAAGATAATCTAGCGTGTTAGAGCGTTCCCTGTTTTAACATTCCCAAATCCAGGCTGAAAGGTTGAAATATATTTTATGTTGGACCCAGGGAATGAATCTCGACATTTCTACTTTGGTTAGGTATGATTGTACATTTACAACAGCTTTCTCCTCCCACAGCCTCGCCGTATGCGAGAAATAGTCTGGTAGTGGTTAAAAAAAAGTAGGAAAGAAATCATACTAAGTAATGTTTATGTGGTCTTTGAAGGCCTACATAAAAAATAAATTTATCAGCGAAATCGTATTTATCAACTATAAAGGATTAAGCTGCAGAGTTTCACCTAATCTTAAGATTTCGAAGTTGTTCGATCCTAAATCCTAAATTCACCTAAAAATGAATATGAATATTTTACCTATTTAGGACTGTCTGTTATAAATAAAAATTTCCCATTATAACTTTCCGTCAAGTTAAAATAAACAGGTATGAGTATTTATTATATATAAATATAATTCATTAATATGAATTTGGTCAAAGATTTAAATATTACTTGGATAGGTCATAAATAGATTTTCTTATTAAAGATTTAATGATATCAGTTTACTTGATTAATTTTTAATTTTAATAAAAATAAAAGTTTTCTTGATCTCTTGTCCCACAATTTTCCTTTATTTTGTATTCTTTATTTTATATGAACGTTTTGCCCCTTGGCCGTCATTAGCATATCTGAAAAATGCTCATTTATATATATACATTCTGCTAAGCTATAAAATCTTTTATATAATCTCTACTTATTTTTTAAAAAAAATTATATTGTATTTAAATAATTTATGACAATTGTCTGATATTCCTGTTATCACAATGTCTTTTTACTTGAAAAACAATTTGAAATTTGTTATCGTCTATTTTCCATGTCAAATAGACAATGGTCACCTTATTTAAAAGACAAATTATATTTAGTAAAAATAAAATAAATATAAAATTATAAAAATAAAATTTATCAAAATACTTTAAAAACCAATAATACATTATTGGATTAAAAAACACTCAATTTACTTTAAATAAATTTAAACAATTAAAACCTGTCATTTTATAACACATTCCAATATAAATTACAAAAATATATTAAAACATTATATTATCTAATTTATTTATTTATTTATTTTTATTCGTATCCACATAATCTAATTAAATGATCTATTTCTATTAATTTAACCCTTATTTATTTTATATATATATTATAACCTTAATAGATGGAGGAGGAGAGGAATTTCTATGGAATCTGCTATGTATTGACCATGTTTGCTTTCTTCACATTTATTTTTAATTTCAATTTATTCTCAATAATATTTTCCTCATATAAATTGTAAATAGTACCATTAAAACAGCGTCATAGATGAGGAACAAGGAAAGTATAGTTTTCGTTATTTAATCACCTCAGAGAAAATAATTGGCCTTGTACAAACGTAAGTAAGCTCTCGGTCACTTTACCGCAGAGTTCGCTGATAACTGATTATTACAAATTGAAATAATAATAAAACAACCGAATATATATATACATATTATATTATTTTTATGTAAATTATATTATGTACTTTATATAATTATATTGTTGTATAATTTGTATTATATTGTATGTATGTAATTGTTAAAAAATAAAATTAGAGGATCAGAAAAAATAGTCTGTCGTGGCCTAGATTCTGCTTTGGTTCTTAATACCTTTATTATTTTTAGGGGAGTAAAGTGTTCTTATATATGAAAAAAAATCATGAATGTTAAACATCTTAATACATACATTGATACCTTAAACAGCTGTGAACTAATTATGTGAGATATGTTGTGATTTATAAGGTTTAACACCCAGGTTCCTCATATAGTCACACTGTGACTAGAAGAGCAAGAACGAGTTGTTCGACAAGTCATAAACTAATAATTAGATTGAAAAGGTCACGATTAATTTGGCGTTTTCCTTGGGAAGTAATAATCAACCTTCCCAGGTCGGATTAAATCTGTCTCAGGAAACGTAGTGTAACAACAAAGTATAAAATTAATTAATTTTAATATCTCTGCCCTAAACCGACACAGTATTACATTATTGATCGATTATTATTATTTATATCAATATTGTACCATTTTTGATCACTTGATTGAAATGTAGCATCACTCCAAGGCACGATTCAACAATTTACTTCATCAACATCAACAAACTGAGTAATTTTTTAGAAAAACAGTGTCTTTTTAAAAGATGTAAATAACAAAGAAAAGTAGTAACTACAACAAATCTCTTAAACTTACAATTATTACTTATAAAAGAATCAAGATGCAGTTAAAGTAATATTGCTTTCTTTTTTATTTTATATAGGATTATATTTAATTTTTGCTATCATCAACAGAAATCTTGTTATTTTTTTTTTTAGAGCGTATTTGAGTATGTATGTATTTTTTTTTCTTTAATTTACTTATCTTTAATTTTTTTATTCTATATAATATATATAATTTTTGATTATTATTTAGTTATTTTGTTTCTATTTATTTATTTTTTTCATATTGTGTGAATGGTGTCTTATCTTCCTATAGCCAATGTGCATGTGACAGAATGGTATATTATCCAATAAATAATAAATAATAATAATACTCAATAAGTAATCAATACAAATAATGATAAATCATTTTTTAAAAGATTTAAATTTTTTTTTGTTTATTTATCTTTTTGTCTTTACACATAAAGTTACGCCAGTAAACTAACGGATGAGCCAATAAGCAAATGGGATGCCATTGTAAGGAATGATTGTATTTCAGACATTTCTAAGGAACACCTGTGATTTTTAATTCATTATGTAAGTCTAGAGTTCTTCGAATAACAGTGGATGCTCCCTTTTATGTAACCAATAAAACTCTACACAATGACCTTAATATCCCATTTCTACTTGACCTAATCCCAGGCACATTTTCCAAATTTCGCCAGAATCTCACTTATCATCCTAATCCTGTAGCACAATCCCTATCTAGCTCCAGCCATCCCTACGATCCTCCTCGGAGGTTAAAACGGCAATGGCCCCGCGACCTTTTGTAAAAATGTATATATTGGAGTACTGGCACTGTCCAGAGTCTTCACTCATGTCCTGAGCGTCTGTTACTCTAGCGTCTGCCCTCCATCAGTCTCTACTGGTTTACTATACCAGTGACGCGGCTGGGAGGGAAGCACTGGGATCTCCTGGAGTTCTGCTTTGGCTTCCACAATTGGGGGACAAAGCTTGATTCAAAGTCCCCTGGGTCAATGTAAATATTGTAATTAGGTGTGTTTTATTTATTTTGTTATCATTAGATTGTCCTTATATATATATATATATATATATATATATATATGTCTTTTTTTTTCTTTTCTCTTCTTACTTGGTTTTTTTCCTTTCTTATGTATATACTGTGTGAATGAATACTATACTACCTAGTACCAATACCCTTCAGTGTGGCAGACTGTATTAATACTCAATAAAAAAAAATTATTATGTTAAATCTATTTATGAAACAAAACAGTGTTTGATTATGAAATCATGTTCGTATCAGTTTTATAATTGCGAATTATTTATTTATTGCAGTTTTATAATTATTTATTGATCTTAATTTTATCATTTTTAATTAAAAAGAGGATTCATACAATTTCTTGTTCTCATTAGTTTAGACTCCTGAAGCTAAGTTATTAGTGAATGATTAATAAATATTGTTTTATTAATAGGCACGATTGGTGTCAATTATTCATTTTCCATTTCATATATTGTTTTCGTTTTATATCCGATAAAATTTACTACCATTTATAACTATACATATATGTTTTAAATAATTTATAGTCTGTATTACATTTTATTTGTTTTCCCTTAGCTATAGTCATAAATCTCAATTAATAAACAGAAAATAAAATCATTTATACCTTTCTCTCGAGTTTTAATCTTAAATAAACAGTATTTGAGTTGTTTTTTTTTCAAATAAAGATTAAATTAATAAGTGCCTATAATCTTGGGATTTCGTAAAAAGATTTTTTCCTTAGATGTACTGATATAATTTTTTTCCCGAATGCATTGATCGTAGTAATAAATGATGGTTGTCTTTTTAATAAAATTATATAAATATAAAAATCGTGAGTTAGAAAATAAAAAAATAAATTCATGTTATCAATGAAATTATGGATAAAAATATAAATATCCGAATAATAAATAAACACTAAAACACATAATATTATCCTCATCGATTTATTCTACTCGTTTCTACAAATTTAATACATATATAGATAGACATTTTTATTGCTTTATTAGGTTATCATTATATAATAAATTATATAGCTTCAGTTTTTCTGTTTAACAACTTAAAAATTTCCAATAATATACAATATATAAAATGACATTTGATTAATCATAAACTTTAATATGAACATGCTATCATTTATTTATAAACATTTCCCAGCATAATTAAAAAAATTATTAAGTTTTGTACTTACATGATACTATAATACCATTGATAAGGAGGAACATATCGTCTATATCTTTCTTTAAATCTATGAATTCCGTTGTCTCGTTGTATGAAGTAGCCATGTTGATTTATTTTTAATTTTACTGTAACATAAAACATTGAAAATCTATATGAGTTTTTTTTACAATGATCTACAAATCAGTTTTAAATTAATTAATTATTTAAGTTATAAATATAATTTATATATTTTTAAAGTACATGGTGTTATTCATTATCACTAAAAGCTGTGTTGTTCTTATGTTTTAATTCAATTAAAGTTACAGGGCGTGCCATTTAAACATTAAATTTATTTTAAACACGTCAATCAACATAATTAATATATGGACACTTTTTAATGATTATCGAAATATTCACATATCCCAAATCAATCTGCTTCATAATATCACAAATGAAATAAACTTAAAACGGATAATTATTGATTATCAAGGCTGTTAGGTAACCGATAATTATTCGGTTATTTAATTCCTAATTCCTATAGTTTTCTTAAAAGAATTAGTCACTCTAGAAGATCTATATCCGAACTGGCCTATGAGTACCACCAATGCAAATGTTTCCCACAAGCTACTGTTAAAGTTTAATATGTTATATTAACTCGTAGTATGTGATGTAATCATTACAGGATTCAACAAAGTTGAGGAGTACATTTGTTTCTATGAGTGCCAAATACTTGAAAAATAACAATATGTCCTCTTTGTAAATTGCAACGTACGTTCAGCTACTATAGCACATGTCAAGGACAGATATAATAAATATTTAGATTTAATAAAATTACTTGCAATTATTTATAATGTTATAAATTTCAATAAATGAAAAATTAAAAAAAAAAAGACTACCGAAATCAAAAATGCTATCCGACCTAAGGGAATGTATTTGGATATCTACTTACACTACTTGGTGAATTGTTAGGGATATGGACAGCTTGGTTGTAGTGTTGCACAAAATCGGTCTTGGTCTTACACTTTGCAAAACCAAGACCAAGGCTTTTGGACCAAGTTTTTAAATAAAAATTAAGGCAAAATAGTTATTAATACTCGAAAATTTTAGTTACTATATGTTATAATTGGTATAAACAATATACTTTTGCATTTAACTCCGCGAATTTTTCAATCGTGCTTAGGTAGGTTTCTCCTATCTAAAAAATTACAGTAATATCTCTATATTAATAAGCTAATAAGTAACTGCAGGACTGTTGGGAGACTCTCGCGCAAGACCAAGACCATGACCAAGACTGAGTTTGCAAGACCAAGACTCGTCTCGGTCTCGCATTTGGGCAACATTGCATGGTTGAATTTGAGAGAAATTGGCAAATGATCTTACACATGATATATGAAACCAACAAAAATTTAAGAATACTTAAAATAAAATATACTTTTTCCCCAGTATTTTTGTGCTCATGTTGTTTCAAAGCATAGATGGGCATAATCATAATCAACGATTATGATTACGATTACGATTACGATTATAATCAAAAAGATCACAATTATTTGATTACACGATTGTAATCGTAATCACGGTTTTTGATTTTGATTATAATCGTGTAATCAAGTAATCGTAATTATGTAATTATAATCATTGTAATCAAAATCACTGTAATCGTAATCGTGTAATCATAATCGCGTAATCGTAATCAAAAAATCAAATACACGCGATTTTCCTATTTTTAGAGATAGGCTTAAAGGAAAACAAGAATAAAACATTTTCTATTTTCTTTAGCTGCCGGGAGTACCTTCTTTGTAAATAACGTCGGTTAACATTTAATATTTTCCGGATTTCCATTCACTTTTCTTCTTTTATCATGTGGATCGATGCTCGATTTTTCACCGTTCCAACACTTTTCCGGCTATATTGATGTAGGCGAAAATGGAGAATTAGTGTAGAAATTTTTCCGAATTTCCACTCGTTTTTCCTCTTTTATCTCGTATATGCATGCTAGGTTTTTCTCCACTCCAACAGTTTGCCGACTAGGTAGATGTAGGCGAAAATAGAGAATTAATGCAGAAAATTTTCCGGATTTCTATTTGCTTTTCCTCTTTTATCTCGTGAACGGAGTCTCAGTTTTTCACCGTTCTAACCATTTTATAACTGTTTAGATGAAAGCCAATGGAAATGGGAGTGGTACAAATTTGCCAAATTTTCATTTACTTTTCCTCTTTTATCTCGAAAATGAAGGATCAGGTTTTTCACCATTCCAACAGTTTCCCGGCTATGTGGTGGTCGGCAAAAACGGAGAAATAGTGTAGAAAATTTTCCGAATTTCCATTCGCTTTTCCTTTTATCTAAATCTCTAAATCTTTTATCTTAGGAAAAGTGAATGAAAATTGGAAAATTTTCTTCAAAATTTCCCCATTTTCCTTTACCTCTACAAAGCCGGAAAACTGTTGAAACGGTGAAAAACTGATCCTTCATTTCCAAGAAAAAATAGGAAAAGTTAATGAAAATTTGTACCACTCCTGTTTCCATTGGCCTTCCTCTAAACAGCTATAAAATGATTGGAACGGTGAAAAACCGATACTCTATTCACGAGATAAAAGAGGAAAAGCGAATGAAAATTCCAAAAAATTTCTACACTAATTCTTCATATTCGCCTACATCAATATAGCCGGAAAAGTGTTGGAACAGTGAAAAAACGAGCATCCATTTACGAGTTTAAAGAGGAAAAGCGAATGAAAATACGGAAAATTTTCTACACTCTATTCCCATTTCCATTTATCTCTACATAGCCGAAAAGTGTTGGAACGGTAAACACCTGACCCTTCACATTCATGAGATAAAAGATGAAAAGGGAATGAAAATTAGGAAAATGTTATTCGGTAAACCAACGGTATTATCATAGAAAGTGGTCCCGGAAATTAAAAGAAAATAGAAAATGTTTTATTCTAGTTTTTCTTTTAGTCTATTTCTAAACAGAAGAAAATCGTGTGTATTTGATTTTTTTATTACGATTACGCGATTATGATTACGTGATTACGATTACAGTGATTTTGATTACTTGATTATGAAAACAGTGAATTCGATTACATGATTACGATTACAATGATTTTGTTTACGTGATTACACGATTGTAATCGTAATGAGGTTTATGATTACGATTGTAATCATGTAATCAGGTAATCGTTTCATACTTTTGCTATAATTATAGTGCTACTGTATCAAGTATAAAATTGGTGTGGTCATAAAGTTTTATTTTCAGTTATAATCATGTAATCATAGATTACGATTTTGCCCATCTCTGTTTCAAAGCATTTACGGAATCTCATTGAATAATTTAGACCATCAAACTTAAAAATCAGTCTAGCTGTTCACTAAAAAAATAGTAACAAACCTTTTTGCGGATTGATTAAAACATTTTTTATATAATGATTAGTTCTTGATTTGAGCTAGAAATTTTTCAGAAAACTACGTGCCTTTTAACGGACTACCCAAACATATTAACCTCCGTGTAACTTCGTCTTAGTTGCGTACAAATATTATCTCCAAGAGTATTATTGTTCCAGTAAATACATAAAATAAAATAAAACATTAAATCCTGAATCCGTTACTGCATGTGAATTGGAATATGAATTATTTACTATTGTAATTTTTTTCTCTCTAAGATTTATAAATTTAAATATTCTGTAAAAATAAATATTATTGTAACATTAAATGTGTCTTTGCAATAACTGATAAAATGTATCTTTATATTATTAAGCCTTACTATAAGTGATAAATCATATTACTATTTTTAAAGTTATTCGATTTTATATTACAATAGGTTTAAAGTTTACTTGAAAATTAATTGAGTTTTTACTATTTAGAATATTTTATTTTAATTTAAAAAATAAAAAATGTTGGGATTCCCAGTGGTTTGATTCTTGCGCAATAAGAGGAAAATGCAACTTTTATTAATATATTCTTACGTTTTTCATCAACGCGATATTTAAATAATTTTTAAGTGCTTAAGAATAATTTTTAAATATTAAAATTAATTTAAGCCACTTTTATTTATTCGTTAAAATATACCCGACAATATTTCAACATTACATTATATACTTAATAAATCAGGAGGAACGTTAAATACATAATTATGCTCATACATTTCTACTGTTAGGAATCAGCATTAGACAAAATAAATTTGGAAATAATTTAAAACAATTAGTCAACCGTTACTATCTGTAGGCTGTAAGAATACGTTATGTTATAAATTAGTTCGAATCAAGTAATCAAAAGTATTTTTTATTAATATAAATGTCATGGTGGATCGTGGTTCAATAGTCTCATTATGTGATTGTTTGATCGAACATAGCGTTTTTTTTCCTCGCCTTTTAGGGTACGCGGGTTTTTTTCTTGGGCCAGAGGTGAGGGCAGAGGATTAATACAAGAGCTAAAAGCTCACCGGCGATGAGATTTGAACTCGTAAACTTCGGTTTATCACTGGTTGCTGCGGGGAATCCATGTTTTACACAGCCGTTAGCCCTATCGCCATAGCGAACTAAGAACTGATAAGTGTTGATGTGTGTGTGTGTGTGTGTGTATGTATTGAGCAGGTTCCCTGTCTTTGCCCATAAAAAAAAAAAGATTGAATAACACAATAATTTTTTTTCTGAAAGTTTTATTATGCATATATTTGCCATTGTTTATTTATTTTCTACCTTAATATACTTTCTGTTTTATTTCTACAAATTACTGCAAAATACTATTTTGCGGTGACAAATACGTATGTAGTAGAATTGTTTATTATTTAGTTGGTTTCAGTTCTTGTTTTTCAATTTATAACAAACTGACACCACGAACGTGTCAGGAATTTTAAGTTGGTATGGTTGATACCATTTCCGATCTTGAGCTTTAAAAATTTTAGTTATTTTATATTTTGATAGAAAAGTTTGCTTTGCATCATTTTCCATTTAACGTCAAGTTAAGTAGCTCATGAAATATCAATGACTTTTCCTTTGAACATTTCATGGATATTACCATTTCTATTTATTTAAATGCCTTAATATAAGTGATAAATTACATTATCATTCTAGAGTTATTCAATTTTATATTACAATAGCTTTATGGATTCCTTGTCAACTCCAGTTTCAGTACCAGGAATATATTGGACTGG